CTGAGCCCTTGCTTGGCCTCGCCGGCCATGCACCACCGGCTCGTGCCTCTGCCCTGGTGGGATGGCAGGGTTTGGGCTTGCAGGGCTGGGCATGGGGGCAGGATCCAGCCCTGGGCTGGGGCGCTGGGGCCCAGGCACATGATGAAAGGCAACTGGGCAGGAGCTGTGCTTGCTCCCAGCACTGCATCACCAGGAGGCATTTTGGGGGTGCCAGCACCCCAGTCCTGCCATGGTGGCTCAGCCATGTGGCCACGGGATGAAGTTTTACCTCTGTCCTCATGGGCAAAACCACCCTTGCAACTCCCTTGTGACCCCCTTCCCCACTTGCACCCCAAAAAGCGTCCCCTTCCAGCAGTGCTGCCAGGATGATGGGGGGCATGGGGGCTCCCCCCCTTTGCTGGTGGGTCACAAGGCCAGGAAGCCCCCCCAGTCCCCAGCTGGGTTTCAGCTGGGAGGGGGCTGCCCGCCCCTCACCGGCCTCCTGTGCTCCCTCCCTAAACCAGCTCTAATGAGAACAAGCTGGTCCCGGGCTGCGGCGCAGGAGGAGGAGAAGGAGGAGGAGGAGGAGGAGGAGAAGGAGAAGGAGGAGGCTCCATCCCATCAGGCAGCAGAAAGGGGCACGAGGAGGTGAGGAGAGAGGGACAGACCCCATCCTGCCGGCTCCCTCCCGCTGCCGCGGCAGGTGCAGGGGGGGGGGCCACCAGCAACGCGAGCCTGGCCCCCCCCAGTTTTGGGGTGGCTCTTTGGTGGGGCTCAGGCTGCCCCACGGGCCAGGGGTGCACGGGCTTGGTGTCGGCAGCAGGACGTGGGATGGAGCTGGTCACGTGGCTGCGCGCCCAGGCACAGTTCGGAGGATGCTGTGCCTGGACAACATCAAAATCGTGACTTTCCTGAGCGTTTGGGGAGCGGAGGGAAGCGGAGCCGGGTTCGTCTGTGTCCGGCCAAGCCGCAGCTGGGGATGCGTGGTGGGTCTGGGGGTGGGTGAAGATGGGATGGGATGAGATGGGGATGGAGGGCTGGCGATGGCCACAGCAACAGGGCCTGCTTTTGGGATGGATTTGGACTTCAGTCAGCCCCTCCATGGCGGTGGCTGCCCATCAGCTCCGCTTGCCGACAGCGAATTAATGCCTTCACCTGCCCCGGGACCCCTCCCCCTGCCGCAGCCGAGGGGCCCCTGTCTGTGGCGAGGGCGGCAGAGGGGGAGGATAAAGGGGCTGGTCTCAGCCCCCCAAAACCCCTTGTCCTGGAGGTGCCACCGTTACCGCAGCGAGCCCAGAGCCCACGGCAGTGGCAATGGCTG